GTGAGTTCGGTTCCTGGTACCGGAGAAAAACCAAAAAAAAAAAAAAAAAAAGAAAAAGAAACAACTCCATCAGGCTACAGAAAAAATCAGAAGTATTCTTTCAGGTAAAAACTGACAACCATAATGAAAGAATTGCTCAGCATATCCAAATAAATAGATTTTTAAAATATGGGAGCATAGAAAAATGATGGAAAGAATTCAGTTGCATGAAACAGGCTCAAAGAGATACCCAGGAAATTAAAACTTCCACTGAAAGTTGGCAAAACCACCTTAACTGAAACTGAAGATAAGACTTTCAGACCTTGAAGACAGCATTGAAGTAGCAATCATGAAAGGAAAGATCTCTTTAAAATAACAAGGAACCAGGAAGTAACAATTCAACAGCTATAAGATGTTGGAAAGATGAACAATATAAGACGAAGGAGTCAACAAAAAACGGGAGTCAACACAAATGAAATAAAGACTATTTGTAGAAGTAATAGAAAATTTCTCAAGCATGGGAAAAGAATCTGATGTACAGAAAAGTGAGGCATATAGAATTCCAAATAGCTATAACCAAAATAAATCTATATCAGAATATAATAATCATGATCCCAGAAATTCAGAAAAAGAACAGACTATTAAAAGCTGTTAAGAGAAAAGAAACATCACGTATAAAGGGAAGCCCGTCAGAATCATGGCCAGTTTCTCAACACAAACCATCAAGTCAAGAAGAGTTTGGAGTGTCCTCAAAGAAAATAATTTCCAACCAAGATTAATGTACCCTACAAAACTATCATTCAAAATTTATGGAGAAATAAGATATTTCCAGAACATAGAACAACTGAAGAAATTCATGAAAAATTCACTATAGGTCCTACAGAAATTCATGAAAATTCCAAGAACAGCAATACAAACAAACCACCAAGCAAGGCAAGCAATTAAACAGGGGACTAGTCAGGAGCCAATATATATCAGTTCTAACCACTAATGTAAATGGCCTCAATTCAATCAAAACTAACAGACTGAGAGAGTAGATCAAGAAACAAAATCCAATAATATGCTGTATACAAGAAACATTTAGCTCAAAAGGAAATTCATAGACTGAAAGTCAACGGATGGGAAACAATACGTGAGAGAAACTGAGAAAAAAGTAAGGGTGCTGACTATTCTGTTGGCAGACAATGTGAACTTGAAACCAAGAATGATCAAAAAAGATAAAGAGGGTCACTACATACTTGTTAGGGGGAAACTGTGAAAAGAAGAGATAACAATCATAAATATGCACCAAATGTGAGAGGACCCAACTATATGACAAATTTTAATGCACATGAAAAATCAAATGAGTATAACAACTGTAATGGATAAGAAAACTAAACAAAACTTGTAAATAAATGGATTTAATAGAGTAGAGAGTGTTCCACCTTACATCAGAATATACATTCTTCTCAGTTGCACATAGGATGTTCTTTAAAATAGACCATATACTGGCACATAGAACATGCTTAAGTAAATGCAGAGGAAATTATCATATGCATATTATCTGAACATGGTGCATTAAAATTGGAAATTATGACAAAAGAAAACAAAAACTCCCATCAACTTATGGAAAGTAAATATCCTACAGAAAACCAATGAGTCACAGATGAAATTAAAGAAGAAATTACATAATACAGTCAAATAAAATGCAGATACAACTTACTGAGACCTGTCAAATGCAATGAAAGCAGTCCTCAAAGGCAAATTTATACCAGTGAATTCTCACATCAGGAAAGCAGAACAGGCGCAAATAAGCAACCTTATGCTGCGCCTCAAGCTACTAGAAACAAAACAGCAAGTCAAGTCCCAACAAATCAAATTATAAAGACCAGAGTACAAATTAATGCAATGGAGACTAAGAAAACAGGACAAAGAATTAATACAACAGTTGGTTCTTTGGAAGAATAAGTAAAATTGATAAACCCCCTAACTAAACTTATGAAAAAAAGAAAAAAACTCAAATTCATGCAATAAGGAATGAAAAGAGTAAACACTACAGGTCCTACAGAAATTCAGAAGATCATTAATCTCTACCTCAAAAATGTTTACTCTCATAGTGTAAAGACACACAACAAAGGACAGATCCCATTTTAAGTGTTGACTTTGTATCCAGCTGCACTACTGAATTTCGTTATTAAATCTGTAAGCCTTTTGGTGGAGATTTTGCAGTCATCCATGAAGGATATCATGTCATCTGTAATGATAATTTCACTTCTTCCAACAATGACCAAAGACGAATGAAGAACATATAAAAATCTTAAATAATCCAGTATCAGCCAGTGAAACTGAAAACATAATTCTAAAATTACCAACAAAGGAAAGCTCAGGTCCGGATGGATTCCTAGCTGAATTCTACAAGTAATTTAGAGAAGACTTCAGGCCAAATACTTCTCAAACTCTTTAACGAAATTGGAAGGGAAGGAATTCTCCCTAACTCATTCCTGGAGGTAAGTATTATCCTGATACCAAAACCACAGAAAGGCCCAACCAAAAAAGAGAACTAGAGGTCAATCTTCCTAATGAACATAGATGCAGAAATCCTCAATAAATTACAGAATGCAGTAAGACATCAAGAAGATTATATAGCATAATCAAGTGGGATTCATCCCTGCAATACAGGGATGGTTCAACATATACGAATCAAAAAATGTAATACAGCATATCAATAGATAGAAGGACAAACTACATAATCATCTCAGTAGATGCAGAAAAAAATTTGATGAAGTCCAACATTCATGATAAAAAAAAAAAAAAAAAACTAGAGAAGATCAGAATAGATGGTCTTTACCTTAATTTGTTAAAGGCCATCTATGACAAACCAACTGCCAACATCATACTAAATGGACAAAAACTGAAAGCTTTCACTTTAAAATCAGGAACATGACAAGGATGTCCACTGTCACCACTCCTATTCAATATACTTCTGAAAATACCAGCCAGAGCAATTAGACAAGAAAGACAAAAGGAATAAGGATAGGAAAGGAAGAAGTGAGATTATCATTACTCCGAGATGACATGATACCCTTCATGGATGACTGCTTATGCATTTAATAACCAAATTCAATAGTGTAACTGGATGCAAAGTCAACACTCAAAAATCAGTAGCATTCATGTACACAAACAAACTCACTGAGAGAGCAATTAGGGTAACCACACCTTTCATCATAGCATCTAAAACAATGAAATACTTAGGAATCAATCTAACAAAGAAAGTAAAAGATCTATACAGTGAAAATTACAGTACTCTGA